CAAAACATTGCCCACAAGATGGCACTCTACCATAGACATCCAACATGTTATGTGTTGATGTCTTCTTTTCCCATAAAAACCTATGGGAATGCAAAATGAATCTTGGAGAAGATCAGAAGGAGGTCAACTGCTGGTCATATGCACATGTCTATGGACTCAAAACCATACTGATGTTAAAGGAAAAGTTTGGCGTTTGTAAAAAAATAAACATGCATAAAAGAAAGCATTGGTCATACTTCCCTGTTAGGAGCAGGCTGCTTTTGCCTATTGGCAGAGGTCACAAACCTGATGAAAGAGATATTATTACATAGTTACACAGTTATTCTGAATGAAAAAAGACAAAAGTCCATCTATTAAACATTTGTAACATTTTTTACATGTGATTAACGTCCACCTACATCCCTTACGGTCTATGGAACACATACAGAAAGCAAACAGAAAGTTCAGTCAGCGGTGGTCATCTTGGATCCACGTGGTTGCATCACTTCCTCTGATGTTTTCTTAGTCCCGGTCATTTTGTTGGTTGTTTTAGACTCTATGGACTGTATGTATTACTCATGCATAAAAGTTTAAAGGGCTTTTACTCAAAATAAAGCAAATGGTGTTAAACTATCTTGAGTCCCCTCTTTTATGTGGTGGGGCTACCTAAGAGAAGTGGACCAGAGGAGGATGAGAGGCAAGCAAAGGAAACAATACAAAAATATTGACCTTCTTTTAGCTAAAAGGGGTCACATCACATCTGGTGAGTGGCACCCCTAAGGGTGGAAGATGGAGGTAAGCATGGGAACATGAGTGTTTGATGCATTGGAAGAGAGCACCTTTGTAACTGCACTACAAGTACTTTTTATAGTGGATGAACCAAAGGTTAACTTTGAAATGTAGCAAAGAATTGAGGACTGAAGTGGAGAATGTCTAATAGATTGACTATATTGAGTTGCTCCATTGCTCTATTGCACAATGTTTGCACAGTGATATTGCAGCAAGTTAAAAGTACTTTATTATAGCTTATTTGTGCAGTATAGCATATGATAGCACTTTCATTGTATATTTTGGTTGCACATAATGGTTTATGTTTTGTATTTGAATGCACGTGATTGATTAACAGTCAGCACAGAGTCTGGTAATCTACATTAAAGCCCAACTCCAGGAATTAGAAAAAAAATCTACACATGCAATGGAGCCCCCCTCACTGCAGGGGCTAAGTGCTCGTTCTGTTTAGGCATGCCAGAATATTGAGATACTTAACTTAATCTGCATTCCAGCGGGGACTCTCCAGTGGTGCAATTAGCCCTCCAAAGCCTCTTTTTATAAAGCTCTCCAGGTCACCCCCACCACGTACAACAGAGTATTAGTGTACCTTTATTGTACATGACAAGGCCAAGGGACTGCCTACAGGCCAGAGTTTCAGGAAGAAGAGGGCAGTGCTGGGGCCAGCCAGAGTTGGGAAAATATAAATAATCCTGTGGTGGAGCACCACTATAAGGTTAGATTTTTTTTTAATTCCTGCAGTTGGACTAACGGAAAACATCTAAAGCCCTCACACATCAGCTGCACAGAAAGGTGGGAAGCCACAAGGAAAGGCCAATAAAAAGATACCCTATTTTCCGGCGTATAAGACGACTTTTTAACCCTTGAAAATCTTCTCAAAAGTCGGGGGTCGTCTTATACGCCGGTATACGGCATACTGACACTTGTTGTCAGGGCGGTACTTTTTAGGGGGGCGGCGCGGTGCCACCACCGCCCCCCCCTTCCAACGGAAGGGACACTAAGTACAGGGGTGGGCAGGGGCTGCTGTTTCTTACCTGGCACCGGTCCCAGTCCCACGACGATCCAGTCCAGGAAGCGCGGCTGCTCCTTCATTCAGTTCGGCCACTGGATGTTCGTGCGGGCCGCTCGGCTCCGCCTCCTCATCAGTGATTGGCCGCCAGAACTGTAGCTCAGAAAAGGCACACAGGTGGCCAATCACCGGCGAGGAGGCGGAGCCGAGCGGCCCCAAGAAAATTGAGTGATGGAGCAGCCGGTAAGTGTGCCGTGCAGAGGTGCTGCTGCAACCACATATGCTGGCTGCAGCAGCACCATACTGGAACAGGGGTAAGCAAGTGTAATTGGTGTCAGTGGGAGGAATAGTGCCCCATCATTGGTGTCACTGATATTAATGATGGGGCATTATTCCTCCCTCTGACACCAACGATGGGACGATGGGGCACTATTCCTCCCCCCCACTGACACCAACGATGGGGTACTATTCCCCCCCACACTGACACCAACGATGGGGCACTATTCCACCCCCCACTGACACCAATGATGGAACACTATTCCTTCCCCCACTGACACCAATGATGGGGTACTATTCCTCCCACTGACACCAATGTTGGGACACTATTCCTCCCACTGACACCAATGACGGGGCACTATTCCTTCCCCCACTGACACCAATGATGGGGCACGATTCCTCCCACTGACACCAAAAGATGGGGCACTATTCCCTCCACTGATACCAATGATGGGCCACTATTCCTCCCACTGATAGCAATGATGGGGCACTATTCCTGCCACTGATACCAATGATGGGGCGCTATTCCACCCACTGACACCAATGATGAGGTGCTATTCCTCCCACTGACACCAATGATGGGGTGCTATTCCTCCCACTGACACCAATGATGGGGGGCACGATTCGTCGCTCTGACACCAATGATGGGGCACGATTGCTCGCTCTGACACCAGTGATGGGGCACTATTCCTCCCACTGACACCAATGATAGGACACTATTCCTCCCACTGACACCAATGATGGGGCACTATTCCTCCCACTGACACCAATGATGGGGCACTATTCCTCCCACTGACACCAATGATGGGGCATGATTCTTCCCACTGACACCAATGATGGGGCACTATTTCTCCCACTGACACTGATGGGGTACTATTCCTCCCACTGACACTAATGAAGGGACACTATTCCTCACACACTGACACTAATGATGGGGCACCATCATTGGTGTCAGTGGGAAGAATAGTGTTCCATCATTGGTGTCAGTGGGAGGAATAGTGCCCCATCATTGGTGTCAGAGTGAGAAATCGTGCCCCATCATTGGTGTCAGTGGGAGGAATAGCACCCCATCATTAAAATACCATACTGAAATACCATACCATGTTGAAATCAAATCTGATGTTTTTTAATTTTTATTTGGTGTGCGTTGGAAGAGGTGTAGTCTTATATGGCGAGTATAGCCCAAACACTATATTTTAATAGGAAAAGTAGGGGGTCGTCTTATACGCCGAAAAAATACGGTATTTAGCTGCTTGGCTTTATAAAAAAAGCATGATTAGCAGTGTAATGCTCTCCATGCAGTACGCTTGCCGTTTATAGACTCTTCAGCCTTGCCATCTACTTTAATGAATAGTAAGTGGAGTAGTAATTGGGATTTAGGAAACACAGGTATATACTGTAGGTAACAAAAGAGAACATTTGCTGATCCACATAATCTGTGCCATTAATACAGATTCTTCTGTGCAAAAACAATTATCTGAATAGTGACAGTGATATAATCCATAGACAAATCAATAACAATCCAATTTTCATTAGTGGAATTTGTAACTTCTGTAATGATGCTAATCAGAGTGCTAAGCATGTATGGCCAAGTGCAGGAATCTTCCACTCCAAGGGAGGTTGTCACAATACACACAGGGCTATTTTAACAACTTTCACTAGAAAGCTTTTTTGTACCTGATTTGGAACATTTGTGATTTGTTTTGTTTAGCACCTATTTTTTTTCCTCTCTCTGTTGTCTGCCTCTTTTTTTTAATTATTTTTGTAGGCTTCCATGAGGTATTGTTTACACAGGGATTTACCCTGTAACATATTAGGGCAGGTTCAGCAGCATCCCTAACCTAATGTAGCACCCTTCCAGGTAGCTAGGGGGAGCTAGACTCCCAATTGTTAGTTAGGGCTGAGTAGCAGCGTGGGAGTAATAGCTAGCAGGGGTCAAAATTCTGTCAGAACTGTGAGGCCCTCTGGATTTTCCCCCTGTTTGGACCTTTAGAGAAAGGTCTAGAAGCAGTGGATGGATCTGAGGAGTGGCTGATCTGCACGTTTGAGGGAGCCTGGTCAATCCCCACCAGGAGGCTTGGCAAGGGTCCAGGACAACCCTTAAAAGTGATTGAGCCTGCTCAGCAGGAGGAGAGTTGGAGAGGAAGAGGAGGAAGAGAGGGAGGGAGAAGGATGTGAGGCTGGAGGCAGGAGCCTGTGAGAGGGCCCAGATGGACAGGGGCTCTCCTGCAGGCAAAGGACCTTGGAAAGTGGAAAACTTTGACTTTACCAGCCCCCTGAGAGAGGACCACCTGTGTGCCAGGGAAGGAGAGGCCCAGCTAGAAAGCTTGGTAGCAGCCACCGACCCACCGGCAGCACAGGAGAGGGACCAAGTGAGTAAACCTGCACCCCCTGGACCAATAAGGGGAATAGAGCACTCTAGTGGGAACTGGATTTGCTTTCTTACTCAGGACTGTTTCCCACTGCAGTGGCAGGCACTGGATCCCCTGCCCAGGGATTCCCCCAGTACATCTGGATGAGGTGCGGAGTTATCTGGGGTGGAACTACAGGAGATGTTAACATTCTCCAGAAGAAAAAACTGTGTTGTAAAGAGTTGTACATAGTTGCTAAGAAGTTTGTCCTCAGTTGCCATTTCTCTTGGGCATCCCATATACCTCTTTCCCCCATCCAAGTTCTAAACCCCCTAATAAAACTTCAAAACAAAGTTCACGGACTGGTTACTGTCTCCTAATGCAAGTCTGAGTGAAGGAAATGCATGTTGGCTGGCTGTCCAGTACTATATGGGGACTCAGAACTTTTGCAGCTCCTAAGGGGGTAGTGCTGCACTAATAGGTCCAGAGCTAGCTTCTGGCTGCCAGGGAATTACACACAGTTAACACCCAAACAATACCAGCATGATCACTTAAGCAGACTTACCTTTGCAGACCTACACAGGACATTGGGGATTCTACACCAAATTGTCACCCATGTCATTCTGCTGCTTTCAGGTTTAAATAGATCCCTCAAGAGTATCATTCCAGATGCACCTGCCAAAAACATCAATAAGGGATGCTGGGAAATATTTGATGTAGTGCACATCCTGCTTCCCTGACCTATATTGCACATGTGTGAACACCTGTGAATGTGTTCCCAGTGCAAGGACACAGACCATGTTTTCCAGTGCATTTCCTTGGCCAGCGCCAAACCTGACCCCAGGTAGAAGAAAACAATTGGGAAGGTGACTGCCTGGTAGAAGGCCATTAAGGCAAAACTTATCTGTGGAAGAGGACCTTAACTGCAAGACATACAGCCTACATCTTAACAGGTATTTAGCCAGTATTCTCCTCCTAGGACCAGCTGCTATTCCAGGCATCAAGGTGGATTCCTACAATAAAACTGGGATCTTTCCAGAGCCTGGACTGATACAGTGATGTCAGCTGACAGCAGACTTCTGCCCACTTATGGGCAAGGGCTTAGGCACCCTAGTGGGGGACACTAAGAACTACACAGCTTGCATTCATGTGAAAATCAGCATTAACCACTATATATACGTGATTTGCATTTCTGGGTAGGAGGTGTGCATGCGCATACTGCACTACCCCGCGCCACTATTAGCTGCTGAACATGTCAATCACGGCCCAGCTGGGACTCGGTGATCGTTGGCAGAGCTGATAGGGGAGAGACCTGTGTGTAAACAACACAGGTCTCTCTCCTGTCAGCATAGACATGATGCGTTGTATTTCTCTGCACAGCAAATACAAAGCAGCATTTCTCCCTAGTAAAACACAATACAGCACATAATGTAAAACATGCAGCACACAGTTTACCCTTTGATCGCCCCAGATGCTAACCCTTTCCTGCCCAGTGTCCTTAGTACAGTGTCAGTGCTTTGTATTAGCACTGATCATTGTATTAGTGTCACTGGGGATGTCATTGGCAGTTAGTCGGTTCCCACTCAGAATTCCTGCCGCAGTCCCACTATAAATCGCTGATCACCGCCATTAATAGTATAAAACAAAATCAAAATCAAAAATATACTGCCATTTGTAGATGCTATAACTTTCATGTAAACCAATTAATATACACTTATTGCTATTTTTTTCTAGCAGACATGTAGTAGAATACATTTTGGCCTACATTTTTGAAGAAATTTTATTTTTGCAATTTTTACTGGATATGTTTTATTGCAAAAAGTAACAAATATGGGGGGGGGGGGGGGGGGTGTTTCAAAATTGTTGGCCTTTTTTTGTTTATAGCGCAAAAAAAAATATGCAGAGGTGATCAAATACCACCAAAAGAAAGCTCCATCTGTGGAAAAAAATTACATATATTTCATTTATGTACAGTGTTGCATGACCACACAATTGGCAGTTAAAGTAACGCAGCGCAGTATCACACAAAAATGGCCTGGTCAGAAAGGGGGTAAATCCTCTGGAGGGCAATTGGTTAAGGCAAACTCTTAGAAGTGAGCTACAGTGAGCACAGTTAACCCAAGGCTAACCTACTGTACTGTTAAAATTAAGCACTCCAGACACCACAATTAGGATATACAACCATACAACTATACTGCAGAGGTGCTGAAAAGGAGTTTCAGGAGGCTCAGCTAGTACAGGAAAAACTCCACGTGCGTTCATCACTGTATGCAGGCAGAACAGACACATGGGATATGTAGTCCTTAGAAATCAAAAGTAAACCACATGGAGCATCCAAAAAAGGGAACACAAAGCATGCACTGAATCCAGGGGGTTGTATAAAGAGCAAATAGGGACAACTCACCACATGAAAGATGTTTTAAGTAAGCTTATATCGGATGGTCAAAAATAGCTATCCTTTGTATAGCTATCACAATGCTGATGTTACAAAAGGAAAGCGCACAGTGATTTTAGAGCTTCTTTTAGGAAGTTGTCAATACGCCTGCAAGTAGATGCACTTTTTCTATTTATACTAATTCTGTGCTCATATGCTAACAACTTGCGGACCAGCAACGTACCTGTACGTTGCTTGACTTAAGGTGGTTGTACCATTTTTTTAGAGCCAGTGGTCGGCTCTCATAAAAGCAATTGGAGAGGCTAACTTGCCACTCAATTGCTCTTACAAGCAGCAGGAGGAGATATATCCCCCCTCCCGCTGCCTTTCTGCTGCCCATCTCACTAGGAGACCCAAGTGACCAGTTGGAAGGTCCACCAGCTGGCCGGACAGCTAAACAAAGCTGGGATTGGCTATCCACTATGGTAACCTAGAAGTGATGACCTGTCATCACTTTTGGTTTACTTGGCACAACTTTGTCATTTTTTTAAAACTGAAAGCATTCAAAAACACTGATCTTGTTGTTATGAATGCTTTTAAGTGCAGGGGAGGGATTTAGGGTCTCATAGACCCCAGATTCCTCCATAAAGAGTATCTGTCATGTGTCTATTGCTGTCACAACGGATGTTTACACATTCCTTGTGAAAGCAATAAAAGTAATAAAAAAAATTAAAGCAACAGTGTAAAAAAACAAACAAAAATGTAATAGTTCAAAAAATAAATACAAAATTAAAGTGCCCGCGCGTCCCCCCCCATGCTCGTGTGCAAAGGCAAATGCACGCGTCAGTCCAGTCCCACATGCACGCATACAGTGATTGTCCCACATCTTAGGTATCATCATGAACATCAGATCATAGGCAGTCATTCTAGAACTAGACCTCCTCTATAAATCTAAAGTGATAACCTTTGAGGGCTTTCAAAGCAGTGACAATGGATAGTAAAATGTATGCTGTTTGTGACCGTTGCACGGGCGTGCGCAATTTTAAAACGTGAGATGTTTGGTATCTATTTACTCAGTGTAACATCATCTTTTATATTTTACAAAAAATTGGCTATGTATTGTGATTTTTTTTTGCATTAAAATTTCAAAAAAAGTATTTTTCCCAAAAAATTGCAGTGGGGGGTGGCAGTGACATTATTTTTTTCCTGAACCTTTACAAAAAAGAGGTCACGCTGTCTGGTAAAGGTGTACAAATCACAAAAGTGAATGGACATAATTACAAATCCTTTAACAAAATACATTTTAATTGTGTGTATTACCCGTTTTTTTTTCTTTTTGCTATTTGACTTGAGTTCAGCTTTAAATTTTCTCTCGGGTATTACATTCCATGCATCTAGGCTCATCATAAATACGTCAGGCAACTTAACTAGCGAAGTCTTATCTTTTCGTTTCTTATGCTCTTCTGTCTTTCCTTTGAAATTCCATGACCAAAGATCATTTTTAATGATACACAAGAGCAGATGGATATACGTAAATAAGGATCATTCTGACTTATCTGCTAAGCATGTTTCCTATTCTTCCTGATATTAGTGAAGAGTCAGACTTATTAACTTCACTTTCATGGGAAAAATAGAAAATAAATAAAGAATAATATGGCATATACAATTGTTACACAAACTACATTATAATTGAATGTTATTAAAAAATTACCTTTCCTATTCAGTCTGCAGTACTGTCATTTTCTATCAAATTCAATGCAATATGGCAACTTGAAGGCATTTCGTACCATTGGTGCGTTTATTTTCAATGGTGACAAAACACCACCAGAAATTTAGTTTCCTACAAATGTGATTGGCCGATTGATTATTTTCCAAAAAGTCTGCACAAAGATTCAACTCAGATTATAGGCATCCTCTGCAACAAAAATGTAATTTTTGGTGAGCTACTTCCAAAGAGTAAATCACTTCTAAAGGGATGCAGACCCTGCATTTTCCTCATTAGAACACTGCCAGTGTGCACCAGCTGATTAATAATGAAATAATCTCTCTCATTCAGATTCAACCCACAGACAACAAAAAAATGTTTCCTTTAGAGCACAAGCAAGCAGAATCATATAACAAAATTTGTTCAAATCCCTGCAATGTACAGAGAAGATTGTTCTCAACAAAAGTGGAGTTACTCTTTAACTTTGGGTGTGTATTAACAAGTGTTGCTATCAATACATTTACATTCTTTCACTAATCAGGCATAAACCAGAGTTAATATTCAACAAATAACTGTGATCATGAGCACTTACTTAAGAATCATACCATGCATTGCCAGGGTGACAAATAAAATGCCACTGCAGAGTTGCTCACACCCGTATATTATTGTGTTTAAGTGGAATTAAAGGTTGAAAATTGGCCAACACATGAGGTATAAATGAAGTCACATATGATGACGCAGGGCTGATGGTGCTGTGACGCAGTAACATGTATTATCTGCTTGGGTATTATTGCCCGTTGCTCGATTATGCAAACACCTATGAGTGTATGTCCTGGGCAAAGGACAAAGGGAGTGTCACTTGGAAGTAGACAGATCAGTTTATCCTTTCTAACCACAGTTAATGTGTCTATTAGCATCATACCTGCATCTCTACAGCGAAGCTTTTTAGAACCCTGCTAAAGGCTCATCTGGATACTGTATTGTGGATGGACTTCTAACCTATCAGGAAGAGACAGGAGGTAATCACATCACTGGGCATATGGGTTGTTTAACAGTGATACGGGGATCCATCATGTTGTTGTTAACTGAGAAGTTAAGGCTGCTAACCTCCAACCCCTCCCTATGTACTTATTCTTTTAGATATGTATCCTGGGATCAGTGGGATCCACTGCATTTAAAGCGTTCTCAGTAGTATACGTACTGACACAGGAGATTCCATTTATTTAACAAAACCTTACAGTACATATTCTTGAGTCCCTTAAAGCGGTATGAAACCAAAAATATAATATATTGCAGCTTACCAATCAGTAGATGTGCTGGCTGCGTTCGTTTTCTTTTTTCCGCTGTGTTTTCACCTGGTGATCTGGCCAGTAACACACCTCCAGTATTAGTGAGACACCACTATTGATGAAGGAGCACAGGAGCACCTTTAGACAGCAGTATTGTCAGTCTGGGGGGGGGGAGTGTTAGATGTACTAGCATATTTAGATACATTAACGAACTGCAGCCAAACACCAGCTCACACTGCAATTACACAAGCAGTTACAGCAACCAACAGTTTATTTTTCTTTTGGGATAAAGTTTTTACATGAATAAATAAAAGCTGATCATTGTAAGCACTCCTGTCAGTGGTAAATGATTTGTCTCAACACTCTGATACATTTTGCAGAACTGCTTGATCTGTTGAAAAATACCAGACTTACTGGCTGGATCACCAAATACAAATAAAGGAAAGAAAGCCTAAAAAAAAGAAAACTTATGTAGCCATCACATCTAAGAATTGGTAACCTACAATACAATAAAAGTTTGCTTTTGGGTTTAATTAGTGGCATCGCTACAGGGGGGCAATTGCCCTCCTAGGTTATTCCTTTTCTCCTCGTGTGCCCCCCCCCCCCCCCGAAATTAGGGCGTTTCTGCCACCTGGGGGGGGGGGTCCTGACAAGTGGAACAGGGCTCTGCTGCCATTAAGGGCAGTATCAGGGCACTTCCTGCATGCCCAAGCACCCATGCACCAGGTGCGGACTGCATCCGGTTGACACCCAGGGTCCATCTTTAACCCAGGGCAAGAGGGTGCATGGAAGCCCCAGCATTCAGAGGAGGAAGATGTACCTTCCTCCTCCAGAGCTGCTCTACTTCTAATGGTATACTTCCCGACTCCGGGCTTCCTGCTGACAATGGAATGAGCTGGGAGTCCAAAGGGACTCTAGACTCTAGAGGGAGGAAGGACAAGCTCCTCCAGGTCCTAGAGCTGTGTACACCGACAGCAACATCACCACACTATCCACAGCACTTGTATTGTACTGTGCAGTCTCTGACCATCTTCTGCACTATGCCCGCAGTCTCTGACCATCTCCTGTAGTATGTCTACAGTCTCTGATAATCTCCTGTAGTATGTCTGCAGTCTCTGACAATCTGCTGTAGTATTTCAGCAGTGTCTGATCCTCTCCTGTAATATGTCTGCAGTGTCTGATCACCTCCTGTAATATGTCAGCAGTCTCTAACCATACCCTTTTTATTATTTCTTCAGTCTCTGATCCTGTCCTGTAGTTATGTTTGCAGTCTCTGACCATCTCCTGTAGTATTTTCGCAGTCTCTGATAATCTCCTGTAGTGTGTTTGCAGTCTCTGACCATCTCCTGTAGTATGTCTGCAGTCTGTAACCATCTCCTGTAGTATTTCAGCAGTCTCTGACCACCTCCTGTAGTATTTATTCTGTCTCTGATCCTCTCCTGTACTATGTCTGCAGTCCCTGACCATCTCCTGTAGTAAGTCTGCAGTCTCTGACCTTCTCCTGTAGTATGTCTGCAGTCTCTGATCCTCTCCTGTAGTATGTCTGCAGACTGTGAGTTATCCTCTCTTTCCAAAATCTCAAACAATATCTGAGGAAGAAAGGAAAACTCTTGAAAGCTTGTCTTGTAAGTGTGAGGTTAGTAAAATAAAAAGGTATCATTGCATACCGTATTAGTCTTGTATTCTGTAATCCTACTTATATATACAGTACTTATTTCTGCAGTGGTATGATTTAGTGGTGAAAATTATAATTACCCAGGTTTGACTTTGGCATCCTATGCGCACCCCCCCCCCCCCTCCCCTAATATATTGTTCCTAGAGTCATCGCTGGGTTTTAATTTAAGTGAAAGAAAGTTAAAGTGATTGTAAAGGTAATATTTTGAAATAGCAGACATGTCATACCAGGGGGTGGACTGACCATTTGGAAACTCGGGCACTGCCCGAGGGCCCGGGGTCAGCAGGGGGCCCCATGAGATGCCCCTGGTACCATTTTCATAGGCTTTTTTGAGTTTGGGCAAGGACACAGGGGCCCCATGATCCCCTATTGCCCGGGGGCCCCATGAGTTGTCAGTCCGCCCCTGTGTCATACTCAATGGTTTTTGCATAGAGATGAGCGAATTATTCAAAAATTCGGTTCGGGCTGATTCGTCCGAATTCGCCGAATAAATTCACTTCGAGCCGAATATATAAAAGGGTGTTTCTAGCCCCTTTGAGAGCCTTTAATTAGGCAGAACACGTACTTTAA